TGACCTAGATAAAATGGATTTGGAGATAAGAAAATATTTAAGAAAGGCAAAATACATTGGTGCCGGTAACTCCAAAGACCGTCTATATGTCAATATAAATGAAATGGGTGAATGATTAATAAGCCTAAGGGACGAATATGTTATTGAAATAATCAGAACAGTAATGCATTAATGTACAAGAGTGAAATAGGAAATAACATATTAGATAGATGGTATTCCAAGAAAGGAATATGGAATAGAATTAAAAAAGCACTATGTCATAAGATCCCAGAAACGAAAATAGAAGAAATAATAAATGAAATGAAAATAAAAAAGAAAAAGAAGTAGTAGTAAAAATAAAGAAATTAATGACCGACCAATACATCAAAAAATGGAAATCAAACAAGTTGACATTTTAGAAGATGGTTCGAGTCAAAAGGGGTAGATAAAACTACTACAATAAATGCATGGAAGTCAATCAATATAAAGAAAAATGTATCTCTCCAATTAACTAAAATATAAGATGGAGCAATATTTAGTGTGTACAGAAAAGATAAAATATTAAAAAATGAAAGATTGAAGTACTGCCCACTTTGTAAAGACAAGATATCCACAGTAGAACACATTCTACTATCTTGTATTTGTCATAAAAAATCACAAATGGAGAAACATGACCATATTGGCATCATCATATGGGATAATAAGAAAATACACAGGAAATAAACATTACAAGAAATCAACATATGAAACAGTGTTCCAATACAATGACATTACTATGATATTGAACAAACAAATAATGCCAAAAAGTGATGGACTATATCATAAAAGACCAGATATATATGTAATAGATAAAAAGAATAAAACTGGTCTAATAATTGATATGACTATTGTGGCAGATCATAATATTAATGGAGCCTATTGGAAGAAAAGAAATATGTATAAGGAATTAAAAAATAGGCTAATGAAAATAGAGAAATTAAAGGATGTCAAAATAATTGCAGTAGTAATTTCGATTAATGGGCTAGTAAATGCGGAAAGTATTAAATTAATCAAACAATTAAAAATCGAAATTGACATCACTAAAGAAATTAAAAACCTTGTAATTAGGAACATGATGGATGTCATGGAACACTGATTCTACCACAACCAAACATATGTAGTTGAACTACAAGATGAAGACTCAGGGATGGGATTAGTCTCCCCTGAGCCAGGAACAATGGACACAAGTTCTATTAATACTTAATTAACTATTTTTCTTTATTTTATTTTCTTATTTCTTTTTATTTCTCTTTCTTATTCTTTTATTATTCTTCTCTTATTTATTATTTTATTCTTTATTTCTTATTTCTTTTTATTTCTCTTTCTTATTCTTTCTTTTATTACTTATTCTTATTTTCTTTATTATTTATTTATTGTTTTTTATACATTACTTCTATTTGTTTTTCTTATTTCTTTCTTATTCTTTTCTTTCTTATTCTATATTTTATTCATTTTGTTATATTTTTTCTTTTTATTTTCTATATTTGATATTTCTTTATATTCTTTTTGTTTTATGTTATTCTTTTATTTCTTTCTATCACTTATTACTTTTATTCTCTTTTTATCATTTAATCTTTATTTCTATTTTCTTATTTATTTTATTTGATATAAATCTATTTATTTCATTCTCTTTATATTTTATTAACCTAATTATTATTTATTAAATTAATCCTTCTTCAATTAGAGAATTAATGTGATTATTCCAATTATTGTCATGACTAGGTTTACTGTCATGCTTGTTGTTCCATTATCTGATTCTGATTCTGTTGGTGGATTAACACATACATCTTCAATGCATTTGTTATTATTATAATCAAATTTATATCCATCATCACAATATGCCATCACGCATTTTGTGCTCCATTCTCCATTATCTCCACATTCATATCCCCCATGTCCATGTTCTATATTAATTTCTTTATCACATTTTTCATCTCTTTTAACTAATCTTTTATTATTTGGATTACATTTTGTTTGATATTTCTCTATTATCTTTTTTGTTTCTCCTTCAAACTCTTTAATCACTTTTTCTGTTTGATCAAATTGATAAATATTCACTCTTTCATCTATCATATCAGTTAGAAATTCTCTAGGAATACTTTCATTATATTCATAATTAAATCTATATGTTTCTCTAACAGTTAATCCAAGATTATATCCATATTGTTTTAAAATATTATCTTTATCTATATCATTTATATCTGGAATATTATTAGATGGTGATAATCCTACTTCAAATTCTTCATCTTTACCATATGGATCACCATCAAATCCAACAATAATAGCTCCTCCCCATTCTTTTAATCCTTTTGTTACCCACGAACAGGCAGAATAGCAATATGAATCAGTATAAACTACTATTTCTGTTGGTTTTCTTTTGTTTTTCATTAATTTCTTTAATTGATGAATACCAAGTGAAGGTGTTTGAATAAGTTTATCAAAAATTATCTTTGAAGGTTGTGAAACTTTATGTTCAACATCACCATATTTAATAATACTTGGATTTGAATACCATTCTCCAAATGTTTTTGGGTTATTTTCTTGCTCTCTTCTTTCACATGTTTCTGGATCATACATTGATTCAATATATGATGACTTTTTAATTATATCTTCTGTGAAATCTGATATTCTTACTGATCCAATGTAATCTACATCATCATATGGTGATAATATCTTTTCAATTGCACTAGAAAGAAGTACTGAACCTCCACTATTCTTTGAGAATATGAGTTGAATTGGATAATTATTAGAATCAAATAAATCAACACATTCATTCAATTTATCTATAAATTCATTTATTTTATTTGTTACACTTTTACCTGTAACATCAAAAGTATTTACAATTAATGTGTTTATTTTGTTACTTGTTGTTAAACAACATATTTTATTTTCAGGTGAACAATTTGGTTGATATTCATTATTTTCATTTTCTTTTGTTCTTGTTTTATTTGTTTCTTCTAAATCTTCTATTCTTAGTCTATCTCTTATTCCTCTTCTCTTACTTCTTTCAAGTACTTGTTGGAATTTCTGATTTGATCTGTTAAGTTTAATTATCTTATAATTAATTGTTAGACTTTCTCCATTTTCCCATGTAATACTTATTGGTGTGTTTAAATATTCTTTTGGTAATGGTAAAATATTTAAATATCCTTCAACTAAATAATCTTTTGCTAATGTAAATTGTGCGTGTGGACATTTTAATCCCATATATTTCTTTCCAAATTCACGAATAATATTAAATGGATCTTCTCCATTTATTGTTTTAACTGCTACTTTTTCATTATTAACTATTTCTTCTGGAACGTCAATAGGAATACCAAGGGGTTCGTTTCTAGGAATTAAATACATTTTCTTATTATTATCAATATATAATGTAAATGGAAGGAAATAATAGAAATAAACTAATTCTGAATTTGGTTTATTAAGTTCATAATCAACATAAAATTGTAAGTGAGAATCTCTTGTTGAAATAATAAGATTTTGTATTTGAGAATAGAATTCATACATACTTGTTGTTTTTGTATTTATTTTATTTAATTCTGCATCAATATCCACTTTTTCATAATAATTATTTGAAAATGATGGTTGTGGTGGATTCTTTAATATATCTTTTAAAACATATACTTCTAAATATTCTTTTAATCCTTTAATAATATCTTCATTTTCTTTTTCTGTTGTTTCAATTGATTCAATACATTCAAATGCACTATCTACTGTATCTATTTCATATCCTTGATTGTATTCATTACATTGTTTTGATAATGAGAATGTAATAAATAGAAGTAATAAATTGATCATTTTAATGAATATATCTTTCTTAGTTTATGTTTAAATACTCATCTATCATTTATTTCCTTTATTTATTATTTATTATCATTAAATTATTGTAATGAAATATTATTATTTTATTATAAATTTCATTTAATTAATCTTTTTTCTTCTTTATTTTATTTTCATTAACATTACATTTGATATATTTTCATGTTTTTTATTCTTAATTTAAATCAAACATCATTCATATTTCAAATATAATTTATTTGTTATCAATTTATTGTTATTTATGTATTAGTTTGTTATTGATAGATGTTTTATAATTAATTATATAATAAATTTATTTATTCATTTTTACTTTTTATTTATTTTATTATCTTTGATTTTATATTTATATTCATTTTTAATTTTAAATTATTAATTATTTTATGTTATTCATTTATTATTATTTCTTATTTATATTTATTTATATTATTTATTATTTCATTGATTTCTATTTATCATATAATTTGTTGTTGATTATTGTTTTATGATTTTATTAATGTTAAAATTAA